TCCTGCCCCCTCAATTTTAGTGTTTCTAAATAATTCGTTAGCTTTGCCTGGAATCCAGATTTAAGGTTTCTCAGCATCCAACCTACATACATCCCCCACAAAAAAAAATGTGAATTCTTTTTCCTCAAGTAGGTCCCTAGTAGACTTTCCCCTTTCAGCTGGGCAAACTGAAGTCACAGAGGAAAGAAACATAGCCTCAGAACTGTTTCTCTCTTTAATGCTTCCCAGCAGGCAAGCATTCACATATTTATATCCTGAGCCCGCAGAACTAAGGAAACAACAGCCAAAGGAGAAAGCAGAGAACATTGTCCTCTGAAAAATATTTTGTCATAATTTTATTCTTTTGTGAGTTTGGTCTTAGTTCATTTCCTTATTCCTGCCAAAACGTTTTAATTGACACCCCTAAAGTCAAGTATCTATTACGGAGGGAGGGTAGCAGTTATGATCACTTGGGAGAGCAGAAAGCTTTCAGAAGCCAGGAGAAGCCAGCATCTCATCATGCTTCATTGGGACGCCAGCAGCTACTTCTTTCTGGAAAACTAAGAGGTCCTCAATTACCCCTTATTAAATTATACACTAGAGGCCTTCCTTCCCTGGCTGCCGGCACCAGCTTCCCTCTGGCACCCGGGACCCGTGTTTCCCTCACAACCCCGGCTTCATTCAGAAGGACGGAAGGATGTCTAGGAGGACATCCAGTCTAATTAGCATATTATGCTTTTATTATTATAGATTATCTCTGGAAATATCTCGTTTTCAATCCTCAGAACTTCAGAACGATGGGTTAGTACTAGCATTCAGCTTACTAATAGAAAAGAGAAATCCAAATATGCACATTAACAACTCAGAAGCCTCAGTTTCTTCTTTTGTAAAGCAAGGCTAATGATTCCTCTTTCAGTGGGTTGGAGAGAACACGAAATTCTTACTACAGAGCCCAGTCTAGATAGAGTAGGGGGACAAACACTAATTAATGTGTAATTTATCAGCTAATAACTGGTTCCCACTGCCTACAGAATAAAAAGACTCTGTGCAGATGCCTCCTACTACACTTTTCCAGGCTTCTCTCCAGTAACCTCCCTTCATGCATGTCATGTTCTAGGAATGTTGGACTTGCTTCATGCCTTTACCCCTGCTCTTTTTCAGCCAAGAATCACCCCCCAACCCCGTTCTATGCCCACTTATGTTTCAAGGTCCAACTCAAATGTCAGCTCCTTGAAATCCTTGCTAACTTCCCCAGTCAGAACCACACTAGACTCTTTTAAAGCACGCAGTTCACTACACTAGATACTGCGTACCTGTCAATGTTCTTCTCTCCTGCTTGTCTCAGCCCCTTGAAGGCTTTGTCCCAATACCCTAGCACAGTGGTTCCCAAAGTATGGTCTGGGCACCCCTGGGGATCTCATTTTAAGACGCTTTCAAAGGGTTCTCAAGATCAATAATATTTTCATAATAATACCAAGCTATTATTTTCCTTTTAACTCTCATTCTCATGAGTGTGCAGTGGACATGTATCTTCTAGGGCAGGGGTCCTCAAACTTTTTAAACAGGGGGCCAGTTCACTGTCTCTCAGACTGTTGGAGGGCCGGACTATAGTTTAAGAAAAACTATGAACAAATTCCTATGCACACTGCACATATCTTATTTTGAAGTAAAAAAAGAAAACGGGAACAAATACGATATTTGTATTTGCGTGTGGCCCGTGGGCCGTAGTTTGAGGACCCCTGTTCTAGGCAAGCATGTCAAACTCAAAGGCTAACATGGGCCAAATAAACGAGGCATGCGGCCCACCGGCCGCGAGTTTGACATGCTTGTTCCAAGGGATATATGATTTATGATCTGGCAATGGATTGAACGCAAAAGCAGATAGGAGGTTCCAGCTGTCTTCTATTAAGTCAGATATTAAAGATATTTGGGGAAGGGGGGTGTAAAACTGTCGCTCTTCTTGCTAAACTTTTTTTGTTTTGAAAAATAATATTTTCATGAATAATGTTATTTATGTTAGCATGAAATGGGTATATTCTTTTTAAATAAATATTTTTCAATTCCTCCATTTTGAATTCTAAAACAGTAACTATCAATAGATATAATGCACATAAAAATTCCTTGGGGCCCCCAATTATTTTAGAGTGTAAAGGGGTCCTAAGATCAAAAAGTTTAGGAACTACTGACCTAGCATGTTGAATGGCACATAATAAGTGACCAATATCCCTATATACCACAGTTTCCGTTTTGATCCCTGGTCAGGAAACATTCAAAAACCAATTAATGTATGCATAAATAAGTGGGACAACAAATCATTTTCTCTCTTTCTAACCCTCTCTCTTTTTCTCTCCTTTCCTCTCCCTCTCTCTCTCTCTCTCAAAAAAAAATCAATAAAAAATTTAAAAAGAAACTAAAAATAAGGGATTAAATGTTGAATAAGAAGACTCGTAATGCTTTAAAATAATAGCATCTTTCTTATGACCAAGCATCTTGCATTCCACTCTCAACTTTATCACTAACACTACATAATCCTGAAAATAATTTCTTTAAAACTTTCTTGAATGGTCTTCCCCATCCCCATCTAGTCATTGGATACATAATTTTCTTTTTTTAAAGGGGAAAAAATGCAATCAGGAAGAATTGGAACGGCTGTAAGAATATGCAACTGCCTTGTCAGTCTTGACAGGTAAATAAAGTGTGAACCAGGCGCGTCCAGCCTGCTATCAACTAGAAGCAGAGGCAGGGCAGCTCTGGACACAGAGATAACATGCCGCCTTGCTGTGTGCATGCGGGTGAGGCAAGAAGTCTTTGGCCTGGCAAGCTGACTGGCACTTTAGCAGAAGATCGTTTAAACCTCAGTTAAAAAGGTTTATGTATGTATTTATTTATTATTTTAATATGTTGATTTTTAAAGATTTTGCTGCACCTGAGGTAAAGGGTGTATAGCTTTTGACTTCATTTTTTCAGAGTTAGTAACATCTCCAAAATCTTCTTTCCAGGCATTCCACACTCTGGACACCACCATCTTTCTAACTCGCTGCGCTGGTATTACTATTCAGTGACTTATAAACCCCCAAAACTTCAAAACCATTGCCATTACCACTTCCCTCCTTACTGAGCGTAAATTCCATGATCCAGCATTAAAACCACCCCCTTGCAAAGGCCCTTCATTCTCTCACCATTCTCCTACTCCCACCTTCTTTTCTGGCAAAGTCCCAGCCTTAGTTAAACCCAGCCATGCACTCATTCTGAGCCTACACCCTTGCAGCTAACCAGTGCCCGACAAAAGCGCTCAGCTATGCTGACTGACACATTTCATATTTGTGATCACAGATTTCATCAATGCCAGGCACTCCTACAGATATCCATATCCATAGCAGCTTTGTTGCTCCTACACTGAGACTGTTTCACGCTTCTTTATTCGTATTTCCAGCATGCTCGTAATCACACTCTCAATTTACGATCACACCTCTTGCTTCATTGGGAAAATAAATGCAATTGGACACAAATAACCTCACCTTTCCATCACCCAATTCACCAGTCTACCTGCATCTGGACCCACACACTCTGCCTCCAATCCTATTACAAGCAAAGAAGCCTCCTGGATCCTATCCCTTCATGCCTACTCATGGAATTCTGGCCTCCCGTATCCTTCTTTCTTTCCTCTAATATATACTTTTATCTCCCAAGCTACTAGAGCACTCATAGTAACACAGGTTAACATCACATACTTTTAAAAATAAAAAACTCTCCCTCTTTTGAGATACTTGCCCCTCCAAGTTTTTGTACCACTACAGCAAAATTTCTCAAGAGTTATCCATGCTGCTGGTCTCCGTTTTCTCATCACTTACTCTCTTTAACCTACTCCAATGTGGCTTTCATTGCCTCCATTCATTCAAACA